TGTGTGTGTGTGTGTGTGTGTGTTTGTGTGTGCAGTCATGGGTGCGAGTACTCGGCGAGGCATTTTGCGAGGCAATGCTGGATTTGGGAATGGGGAGCAAAGGCGGTGAAATGTGGTCCAGCAAGAGTTAAGTTTCATTTTTTGACAGCATTCAACATTTTTGATTGAATAAAAATGCATGTTACTCAATGAATTTAATAAGGTTAGATTCTTCTAAAAATATATTTTTTCACAAATGTATAGTTGGAAAATGAATTTTTTTCTTCAAAAATACGTTCACTCCCCAATATGAGGAATTCATTTTCATATGAGGTTAATTTCTTCCAATCATAAATATATTCTTGTAAAATTTTCACCAATGCATACATATCACACAGATGCGCTTCCGCCATATCAACATTCTGGTTCGTGACCAGTGAACCACATTTAAAGGGAATGAAAGCAGCTGCTTTGATTATGACTGAAGACGGCTGTGACCACTCCCACTGCGGCGCATCCCTCCCACTTGTCTGCAAAATTACCTGTCTAACCTGCCTCCCGTGAACATAAAATGTGTAGATAATACTGTACAGAGTGTAGTGTCACCGTGTTAGATATGTAACTTCGAGAGGCGGGGTTTGGGGGGGGGGGCACGTCACATTGACTAGTCTGTATTTGAATGTTGGGTGTGAGCTGTGGCTGACAGCAGCTCCAGGTGCATCAACTGTCGCTAACCATGTGAGGGCATAACAATAACTTAAGTATAAAAACCTTTTTAAAAAAATAATCACTGCAAACCATGTCATGCAGTCTTTTGTCAACACCAACTGACGAGTTAAAAAGAGACCCCAAAAAAAAAAAAAAGACCAATGAGACAATAAAGGCACACTCCCTGCACAGCTGCTGTATTTTTTTTTTTCCAGAGAAGCCATTTCCTGTCAAAAGTCTGACAAGGGAATAATGATGGCTTTGATTGGGCCCCCAGTTAACGGGAGGCACTTCCTGTTGCTTTGTATTGCTTTCATTGTGAAGCGGCGGGATGGGTTTTTTGAGGCAGGGTTTTAGGGAAACAGCTGCTGGAGATGACACAGTCAAGAGCATCCCCGTGACCCCCGCCACGGCGCACACATATTGTACCGAGTAAATAGTTGCGCATTCGTCTGAGATGACATCATTACACTTCGAAAAACAGCCAACAATCGGACTCCAGGTACAGAAAGCAGAAGATCAGATATCCGATTTCAAAAATCAATATGGTCCTAAATATATTGGATATGTCCCACAAAACTGTGACTTCAACACCCCAGAATCTCATTTTGCAATCTTATGCATTCGTTTTCTTAAGAGGGCCTGATAAAATGTTTCTTCTTCTTTTCTTTACATCCAAACATCCATCCATCCATTTTCTGATCCGCTTATCCTCATGAGGGTTGCGGGGCATGCTGGAACCTATCGCAGTTTACTTCGGGCAGTAGGCGGGAGACACCCTGAACTGATTCCCAGCTAATTGCATACACTCACACTGAGGGACAACTTAAGAGGGTTCCATTCACCTGCCGTGCATATTTTTGGAATGTGGGAGGAAACTGGAGTACCCGGAGAAAACCCACGCAGGCACGGGGAGAACATGCAAACTCCACACAGGAAGGCCCGAGCCGGAATCAAACCCTACACCTCTGCACTGCGAGGCTGACACGCTAACCATTCGAATACCGGGCCACCTTTTCGCAGATGTTTCTCCTTAAAATTTGATTAAAAAAAGTTTTGTTTTTTTTGCAAGATAACCTTTTTGCTCCAAAAGTATGTCTCTTTTCTTTAAATTTTAAAAATGTATTTTTAAAAAATTAAAACATAAACTTTCATTGTTTTAGTAACATTTCAAAAAGATTATTTCCAAATAACTTACATT